TAGGAGATTGGGTTTTAAGCGGGACCGTTGTGACCCCTCCAATCTTTCCTGGGAACTTGTTTAGTGGAAGGATTATCCATACGGTACTATTTTCGTATATGTGACAGTTTGTTATAAAACTGTTGAAGACTAGCAGGATGATGGCACAAAAGAACAGTTGGGTTCCGTGTGATCAAGGATCTGATGGAGTGGTGATTTCTCCAAGGAAGTTAGATTCGGTGACTGTAACTTCTCGAGGGGAGAATTGATAATGGAAGAGAAATACAACAAAGGGATAAAGGATAGATGTTGTGACAGGATGAGCTGCTGTTAAACATAAGCAAGGAATAAGAAGAAATCTGGAGAACTGAAATTGCACAAGAACACATGGAGATTGTGCAGGAGTACCTAGAGGATCCAACGAGGTACTGTAATGAGACAACAGGTGCAAGAATAATAAGTGTTCCTAGATGAAGCTCAGAGCAAAGACTGTGTGAAAAAGTTATACAACAGGAAGTCTCTTATGCTCTTGATAAAGGCAGCAAGCAAGGACCTTTCTAATGCATGCAAGGATAGAAAAATAAGTTGTTGTAGATGCATCTAATGGAGAGGGTGTAAACGTTTGTGATAAAAGGCAATCACCTATGATGAAAGGTGAAGACACCAAAGAGAGTTGATATAGGTGGAGCTATCAAGCAGAAAGGCATAGGAGCTTCAAACATAGAATATGAGATGGAAGATTATGAAGAGTGCACTGCAACTTTCTCTATGTGATAAGTGGCAATGATTTAATATTAAAAAAAAACAGAAGCTTGGTAATGCTGCTGGCACAAGCTCCACGTTAAAATAAGGAGTTAGCTGTTTTTGCTTTTATCCTTTTATACCAAAGTGAAAAGGAAAGAGAAAAGATCTAATTAATAAATGATTAAATAAATGAATCAGCCGGGGATTTGCTAAGCAACCACTTGCCATATGTTAAAAGAGAAGGGAAGTTAGTCAACTTTGAGGCTAGCTATATAATTAGTAACATTTTTTTTTTAATAGTAATAGAGTAGAATTAATATTTAAAAAGGTGATGACAGAATAAAAAAGAGTTTGCAGAAGAGCATTTAAAAGGAGCAAACAAACAATATATCAAATTAATTAGTCTAATTCACGATACATTCATGATTTCTAATCAAATTAGATCCTGTATAACAAAAAGATTTTAATTAAAAAATAAACATTAAAATAAAAAATCTTATCTTAAATAAGAATCTTAGACTAAAAAATGAGCTGCAAACTAATCAAATAGATTAATAAAAACTTTGCAAAGAAAAGCAATATTCCAACATTAAAAGTTGCATTTAACCTACCTTAAGCCATTCCTAAAGATTTTAATTATGATCCCTAGTTAGATAAATTAAATACTCGAATCAGAATCTACATTAAAAATCCCACATAATAGTACAGTAATAAAATAAATGATGAATAGTCCCAATCACCTTAAAAAAAAAAAACAAATAGCATTATAATTTATAATCTTCCTCTCTGTTAAAAAACTCTTAATGAGACTATCTAAAAATTTATAACCTGAACTGAATAGGTGCTGGAAGTATCAAATTCCCATATTTTTCTATCTTCACTTTCAGAAAAAACAATGCAGCGCTTCATCTCTCCAATTAAGCTTTCCCGCTTGAGAGAGAGAAGTGAAGGAATTACAAGTAGCAGTGTGAGCTGCTACCACACCATGTAAGTACTTCGTTGGATCTTATTGCTGCTCTTTTCTTACTTTCCTCCAATGATTTATTGGTTCTTGGCTTTCCATTTTTTTTCTCCACTCTTTAATAATGCAGTGAGTTGCATGAAGCAAATTCATTGTCCTAAAGGAAATTTGCGTAACATGAAGATCTTACCACTTAAATATAATGGAAATATTCTTGCGTCAATTATTTACTTATTTATTGAAAATGATGGAATAGTTGCTTCATCCGTCGAAAAACACATCCAAAACGACATTATCAAACACGTTGTAACGTGATCCAGTTATGTATCATGCCATCAATTTTGATTTAAAACCAGTGGTTCAAATGTAAAGAGGGCAGTGCAGGACACAGTTACCTTTACTCTTTATTTGTCCTTTTGAGTGTTTCCTGTATCTTTCTTTTTTCTTCTATGCAACAAGATGATCTAAAGTAGGACCTTAAGACAGCACGCAAGGAATTTCTGTTCTCGTTCCCAGAAATATTTCGTATTTATTTAGAACACAGAAAGTATGGAATGTGTCATCTCCCTTATCCCTTTCTTCTTTGGTGGAACAACTTGTGGACCCTACTGTTATGTGTGGGTCATGCAGGGATGGATCCAGACTTAGCAAAGTGGGAGGCAAAATCGTAGGCATAACCTGCTTTTTTGAAGCATGGGGGATTCTGTAAAAATAAGTAGAAGTTTTTACAAGTCTACGAGTCATTTTGGAAACTTCTCAATTTTTGGTGGGTGAGGCCACCTCTTGCCACAGTTGTTAAACCTGGTTTAACAGGGTGAACTAAAAAATCTAGATTCAAAACTTTACCCGATTGAATTTTTAATTAAATCATGCTATATTTATGTCCTAATTGGCTTAAATGGGTTTTTAATTATTTGATCGATCTAGTCTAAATCTATCAAATTAACAATAAAGAATTCTTTAAAAAAATATTATTTTAATTAAAAAAATTGACTGGGAGTCTGTAGATTTACCAATTGACTCATGTGACTGTGACCCTGGCCGCTCACTAAATTCAACCCTAGGTTGGGGTCATGTGCGGTTTAAAAGGGTGGTGATAGACACAGCTACCCCAAACATGCAAGTCAACTCTTCATGCAAAATAACTGGGTCTATATTAAAGAAAAGCCACTTGCATATATTAAAAGAGAAGGATGCTGATAGTCAACTTTGACTTAGGACTGGCGTTTTGCTTGGTCTAGGACACATGCATGATGATGTCTTGGCTTTTTACAATTTTCTTAATAAAAACTGCTCTCTTGTTTTATAAAAGAAATTTAGTTTTCTATCAGAAAGAGGTACAGAGTGCACCTCGTCTAATAATAAAAAAAGACCTCCTTGCATGAAGGGCGACTAAGGCATTCTATACATTAACCCAGCCATTGTTAATTTTGCTGGCACATCGACCAGCATGGGCATTGTCAAGCCTATTCTAGATGATTCTTGGAAAATTCCCTACAGAAGGGAAAGGACGAAGCAGCTTGACCTAGATTGTTGCTCTTTACATGAACTGCCACCACAACATGTAAGTATTTCATGGGGTCTTCTTGTTGCTCTATTTTCTAGCTTTCATTCAATGATATCTTGGTTCTAGGCTTTCCATTTTTTTCCCCACTCTTTAATAATGCAATGAGTTGCGTGAAGTAAGTTCAACGTCCTGAAAAGAATTTACAGAGCATAAAGATGGTAGCACTAAAAGAAAATAATGGAAATATTAGTGCATCGATTATTTACTTATTTATTGAAAATGATGGAATAAAACGCAAAAAACACCAATTTCATACGGTATCGGTGGAAAAATACCTCCAAAACCACATTATGGAATACACTCTAACGTGATCCAATTAAGTAGCCCATCAATCTTGTATTGCAAAAGGTTAGATCGAGTATTACTTCATTTTTAAGGCCACTTAGCCGGCAGCTGCTTTTATGTCCGCACACTTTATCCGAGACAATCTTCAAGGAAAAGAAAGGAAAAAAAGAAAGGAAAATCTAGTTGACAGCGCTACAAACCCTCCTTATCTGCCCGGCAGATCCAGCGAGAAGTCCTATATCTCCCATTTTGATCATGGCAGATCCAAAATCAGTTCTAAATCTTGCAGGATTCCTGCTGTTTTTGGTGATGCTGCTGGCACAAGCTCCAAATTAAAATAAGGTGTTAGCTGTTTTTGCTTTTATCCTTTTGTACCAAAAAGAAAAGGAAAAGGAAGGGAAAAGCGAAAGTGTCGAGTTCTAATTAATAATTGATTAAATAAATGAAGCTGATCAATTGGGGATTTACTAGCTGGTAAGGGAATAAACAAAGACCCGACGATAATAATAAAAGAAGACCCTTCTATATCGAAGGGAAAGGAAGAAGCAACCACTTGCCATATGCTAAAAGAGAAGGGAAGTTAGTCAGCTCTGAGGCTAACTATATAATTAGCACCAAGCAACATACCAAGAACAACAACATACCTTTACTCAAGTTTTTTGCCATCGCTCAGACATTTTCAGCAGTCTTATCAAGCTTGAGAGAGAGAAGTGAGGGAATTATAAGTAGCACTGTGAGCTGCTACCACACCATGTAAGTACTTCGGTAGATCTTATTGTTGCTCTCTTTTCTTGCTGTCATCCAATGATATCTTGGTTACTGGCTTTCCATTTTTTTCCCCACTCTTTAATAATGCAGTGAGTTGCTTGAAGCAAATTCATTGTCCTAAAGAAAACATGCGTAACATGAAGATCTTACCGCTTAAAAATAGTGGAAATATTCTTGCATCAATTATTTACTTATTTATTGAAAATGATGGAATAGATGCTTAATCCGTCAAAAAACACATCCAAAACAAAATTATCAAACACGCTCAAGCGTGATACAGTTATGTAAGCCATCAATTTTGATTTAAAACTAGTAGTTCAAATGTAAAGAGGGCAGTGCGGGACACAGTTACCTTCGCTCTTTATTTGTCCTTTTGTCTGTTTCCTGTATCTTTCCTTTTTCTTCTATGCAACAAGATGGTCTAAGGTAGGACCTTAGGACAGGAAGCAAGGACTTTCTCTTCTCTTTTCCAGCAATATTTTGTATTTATTTAGAACACAGAATGTATGGAATGTGTCATCTCCCTTACTCCTTTCTTCTGTGGTGGAACAACTTGTGGACTCTACTGTTATGTGCGCGGGTCATGCAGGGATGGATCCAGACTTGGCAAAGTGGGAGATCCAGAACTCAATTTTTGGTGGGTCAGGGTGGTTGCTAAACCTGGTCAAGTGGGGTGAACCGGGAAATCCAGAACTCAAAACCTTATCCCGACTGAATTTCTAGTTGAACGATGCTAGACACGTCCCGGTTTACTCAAACAGGTTTTTAGTTATCTGGTTGATCTAGTTTAAACCTGATCGGATCAACAATAAGGAAATTTTTCTTAAACTTATAGTGATCTAATAACTCATTCGTGACTCTTTTGATGTCAGTTATCGGGTTGAGTCTCACAACTGTGACCCTGGCCACCCACTAAATTCAATCCTAGGTTAGGGTCATGTACGGTTTAAAAGGGTGGTGATAGAAACAACTACCCCAAATATGCAAGTCAACTCTTCTTGCGTCTTGACGTGGGTTCTTCTTTAAAGACAGTTTTTTTTTTTTTTAATCTTACGAATCAAGAAAATTTCCCTCGTAAATAAAATCCTGACACTCTAACAAAAGAATAAAACAAATGACCCCAAAAAAAAATGAACAAACCAGACCTGAGGCTAACCTGATGATACTCATATAGATTAGTCGATGAACATATAACTTCATTTCTTTACTCACCAATGTCGAAGCCCTTCCCACAAACTTTGGCTCGATAGATCTTGGCATCACTAGTACTTTCTCTGATTCTTACCCCACATTGTACACACAGATTTTAACATGACAACAAACATTTCCCCAACTTCAATTGTTGTTGAAGTCCTAAGAGGGGATAACTACGATGATTGGAGTGCCTGCATGAAAAGCTATATGTTAGCTCAAGACCTCTGGGATTTTATTGAGCATACTGATCATCATGAAGGTGACCAAGAAGTTGACTCTAAGCCTATTGATCATCAAGAAGTTGACTCTAAGGCATTGAGAAAAAAGAACGCTGCAGCTTTACATGCAATTCAAATTTCTTGTGCACCACACATACTTTCCAAGATTAGGAGCATCACTTCAGCCAAAGTTGCCTGGGATACTCTAGCCAATTTGCAACGACAACATTCACCAAGCCACAGATCTGTTGAATTAGAGCCAGCAGAAGATGATAAGTCACAAGGTTCAGAGCAATCTGTTGAAGCAGAGCCAACAGAAGATGATGAGTCACAGGGTTCAGAGCAATCTGTCGAAGCAGAGCCAGCAGAAGATGATAAGTCACAAGGTTCAGGTATACCATGATCTCATCCTCTCCCTTTGTTAGATCTCCAATCACTTCAACTCCTTGATGTTAACACAGGAGAGAACAAAAACTTTGGCAGGATCCGTGAGCTATGGAATCAATGGTCCCTTGCTAGCCCTGTACAAGTACGCTCATAAAGGAGATTGGGATGCCACAAAAAACTATCTTAGCCAATACCCAAATGCGAAAAAGGCAAAGATTAAACCTTATGGTGGAACTGCCCTTCATGTAGCAGCTTGTGCTGGAAATCTGACAATTGTGGAGGAGTTGGTGAAGATGATGTCAGGAGAAGAATTGGAAATACAAGATGATGAAGGCAGCACAGCTCTTTTTGGTGCTGCTACTGTTGGAATCACAAAGATGGCAGAATGTTTGGTGAGCAAGAACAAAAACTTGGTTACCTTCGTAAATGAAGATGCAAAGATCCCACTTGTTGAGGCATGTATAAGAAATCACAAGGATATGGCTCTTTATCTGTACTCTGTTACTCCATTTGAATTTCTTTGTCAAGGCAATGGCAACCATGGATCTTACTTCCTTCAATGTGCTATTGGTGCTCAAATGCTTGGTAAGAGACTTTACCCATTAATTACTTATTTTCCCTTTTTTTTGTCTATTTTTTTCATGCTTTTTTCAGAAATTTTCCCTTTCGAGTAATTTATTATTTATTTCCTGCAATTTAATAAAAAAATTAATTAATAATTATGGTTTTTAAGAAATATATGAATAATCCTCTTTTTTTAACTTAAAATCATTTTTTCAATATCATGTGATTTTTTAATTAATTATTTTTTCTTCTTTTAAATAATAGAAAAGGAAAGGGAAGGAAAATCAGGTAAGATGGGAAAAGAAGGCAATAATAAATTGATACGAAACAAAATGACTTGTAATTAATTAACATTTCAAAACACTAAAACCTCATCTTTCTTGTTGCTTCTTATGCTGTTTCTTTTCGCTATTGCAATACCAGATATTGCTTTTGATTTTCTGCATCGCTTCCCATATCTGGCTACTACAACGGATGAAGTTCTGAAGACGAACGGTTTGATGTATTTGTCTAAGATGCCTGAAACATTTCCAAGTGAAGATCGACTTGCATTTTGGCAGCGATGGATCTATTCATGTTAGTATCTCTTCCTTCGATTTCCCCCCTCACAGTTCTCTTCAGTTCCTCGGCCCATATTATTTACGTATACTGTTCTGTATGTTCTTGGAGATTACCACACCGTCACATAGAAAGAAAAGCGGAAGGTTCTATTTGATATGATTTTTGTAAATTGATATTGTAGTTGTTTTAGAATAAAGAAAGAGGAAAGAGTATTGCTGCAGCAAAGAAAAATGGAAAATGAAAGCAATATATTTTGAAACTGCAAACTGAATACAATATAAACGTCTAAAGCATTGCAATTTCAAGATCGATTAATAACAACCCACTAACATCATGGTCCTAAAATTACACCATAATCACAATCATTAATAACATAATAAATAATTGAAAACAAAGAAATAGAAACATATTTGAAATATTTTTCAAATCATTAAACAATATTTATGACTTCTATAATAACAATTCTAAGCACGTTTTCTAGCACTCCTCCTTGTTTTAGTAACTGCAAACTCCAAGTTTTGTCCTCAAAAATTCAAAATTGCTAACTAGCAGGCTTGGTGAAAATATCTACAACCTGATCTTCTCTTTTGTATTTCCTTTAAAAAGAACAACTTAATGTTAAAATGCTTAATTTTGCTATGAAATTCAGGAATATGAAAGATAGCAATAGCAGTTTAGTTGTCAATAAAAATCTCTGTGCTTTACTTCTGCTCCAAATTAAAATCAATTAAAATTTTCCTCAACCATAAAGCTTGATTAATAGCAGCTATTGCAGTAATAAACTCTACTTCAATAGTGAGTTAAACCATTTTTTATTTTTTCGAGCACCATGAAAAAACATCAAAACCAAATGTGAAACAGTAGCCTAAAGTGCTCCTTAGACTTTTGAAATGTATCGGATCAATCTTATTTGTTCCATCTTTTTCATATAGCTTTTCTTTTTGGTTTAGAGGAGTGCTCATTTCCTTGTATTCTTCAAGTTTAAACTTCTTTAGAATCTCCTTAGCGTATTTATTCTAACACATAAAAACATCATGTTCATCCTGCACAATTTCCATTCCAAGAAAGAAAGTCATCAAACCGAGATCTGTCATCTCAAAAACCTCCATCATTTCTTATTTAAACTTCTCCACAAGACTTGTGTTATTTCCTTATCACAATTAGATCATCCACACACAGTGAGATGATAAGAATGTTAACGCCATTTTGCTTGACATATAGTGTTGATTCAGAGAAGCTTTTAGCAAATTCCAAGTTTTGCAGATGTTCATTAATTCTATTGTACTAAGCTCTTGGAGCTTGCTTCAATCCGTAAAGAGCCTTCTTAAGAAGACAAACTTTGTCTTATTCTCCTTTTACATAGCCTTCTGGTTGCTATATATAAATCTTCTCATGCTAAAAACCATTCAAGAACGCTGACTTGACATCTAATTAGTGCACCTTCCAATTCTCTGGAGCTGCAACGGCAAGTAAGAACCTGATAGTGTCGAGTTTAGCTATTGGTGCGAAGATATTTGAGTAATTCACACCTAATATTTGAGCATATCCTTTAACCATAAGTCTAGTCTTATGCTTATTGATTGAGCCATCAGCATTAAGCTTGGTTCTATACACCCACTTAACTTCTATTACCTTTCTGTTTTAGGGTTGATCAACTAACTCCTATGTTATGTTCCTTTCAATCATAAACAACTCCTTCTTCATTGCAACAATCTAATTTTGATTCATCTTGGATTCTTCAAAATCTACATATTCACACATAACAATGCTACATCTTTGATAAACATTAAAGAGTAGTCTTGTGCCTTTAATAGGAATGTCAACTCTCATAACATTCTGCTAGTCTTTTATGTTTTGAACCTCTGTGTCTAAACCAAAAAAATTAATCTTTGGCTCTTTTGAGGTTGAATTCATCTTATTTACACCATTCCAATTCCACTCTTCATCCTTTATAAAGTGCACATCCCTGCTTATAACATTTTTTCTAGTTTGTGGCTGGAAAACTTTATAAGCTTTTACAACTGAGTTGTAGCCAATGAAGATACCTGAAAGTTCTTTTTTATCTAGTTTATCTTTTTTTATCTGTGAAACAAGAGTGAAGCACAAACACCCAAAAATTTTAAGGAAGTTCAAAGATGGTTTATAATCATACCATGCCTCAAAGGGTATTTAATCTTTTACAACTCTTGTTAAAAGTTTTTTTTGCAGAAAAACAGAAATATTTGCTACTTCTACTCAAAACTTCTTTGGTAGATTGTTCGCATGTAGCATATTATCTTTAAAATGAATTTGTTTTGTCTTTTACAAATTCTATTTTGTTGTTGAGTGTATGGAGCGATTAATTGATGTTGAATGCTTGCCTCCTTACAAAAACTATTGAATGATTTAGAGGTGTACTCCTTGCCACTGTCTGATCTAAGAATTTGAATTTTACAGCCACTCTTGTTTTTATCTCTGGTTTTAAAGTTCTAGAAGACTTGAGCCACCTCTAACCTATGCTTCAAAAATAAAATCCAACATATAACATAGAAATCATCAATGAATATAGCATAATAGATACTGTCATTTAAAGAAGGTGTTCTTTATGGGCCTGCAATGCCCATATAAATAAATTGTAGCTTCTTTGTTACTCTTCATGTTACTTTGGGAAATGGTTTCCTACTTTGCTTTCTAGACTAACATGATTTGCAATTTGGAATGTGATCATCAAGTTCTAGAAGATCATTTGCCATCATCTTATATTTCAATTGCAATAACCCTATATGATGATAGTGCTCGGCCCCATTGCGAAAAACTTCTGTAATATTTTCTTTGATTATGAAGGCAATTTACTCCTCCTCTAATGGATTTAAAGTAAAGCTTTTTCCTTTCATTTTTACTTTGAAAATATCATGGTCATCTACATCTTTAATCAAGCAACTTTTATCCTCGAACACAACTTTTTCAATTAGTTGTCCAATGCTAAACAAGTTTTGATCAATTTCAGGAATATACAATATATCATAAATGAACTTTGTACCTGAATAAGTTGAAATTACAATTGTTCCCTCTCCTTCCACAGTTATGCACTTGTCATTTCCAATTCAAACTTTCAACATGTTTGTGCTCCTTAGTTCCATGAATAGATCCTTGTCATGTGTTATTTGGTTAGTACAACCACTATCAATAAGCCAACTCTCACTTGATTCAATGCTAAAGAAATATGTAGCTATGAACAATTGATCTTCCTCCTCTTGATCAGTAATTTGTGCCTCTTCACTATGTTGTTGATTTTTGCTCTTATAGATAACAATTTCACGCCCCATCTGGTTGTATTTGTTGCACTTGGCATTTGGTATTCTTCAACATTTAAAATGTGGATGAGATTTTCTATTACAATGCAAGCATAGAGGATAAGATCCCTTCTTATTTCCTTGTTGTTGGACTTGAAATCTCCATTTGAACCTTAATGGCTTTTACCCTTTTTTTGTAGTTTCTATTCTCTTTATGCTTGACAAATAAGGCTCCCTCAACATCATCTTCCTGCCTTATAGCCCTTCTTTACTCTTGTGCTTGTAATGCATTTAACATCTCTGACAAAGTGATTTTTGATATATTCTTAGTGTTTTCCAAGGATGTAATTATTCCCTTAAATTTTTTAGAAATTGTTACAAAAAAATTTTGGACAATCCTTGATTCTGCCAAAGACGAGCCAAGTAGTTTGACTTGGCTAGCAATGTTAAGCAACCTGTTAGAATACTTTTTGATGGGTTCAATCTTTTTCATCTTTTGCAACTCAAAATTACGTACTAAATTCAGCAATTGCATCCTTAAGATCCTTTCATCTCCTTCGTATTCAGTCTTGAGATAATCTCATATTTCCTTTGCTAACTTCAAAGACATGATACGAGTAAAAATGGTGGATGAGACTACAGTAAACAAACAAGCTTTTGCCTTTTATTTCTTCGTTTTGTTGTCCTTATGTGCTTTGAAATGTGCCATAGTGGGATTGTTAGGAAGTGCAGGGATTTCATAGTCTTCTTCCACTGCTTCACAAAGATCCAAAGCATCCAAGTATGTCTCCATACATACTATCCAAATCTAATAGTTATCTCCATCAAACACTGACGAAGCAATTGATGAAAAATTGGCTTTAGCTTTTATGACGTATCAAACTCACACACAGATCCCTTTAAGAAGAGAGCTTTGATACCAATTATACTTATTTTAGAATAAAAAAAGAAGAAACAGAGTATTGCTGCAGTAAAGAAAAATAGGAAAAGAGCAATATATTTTTGAAGTTAAAAACTAAATATAATATTAATGTATGAAGCATTGCAATTTAAAGCTTAATTAATAACAACCCACTAACATTATGGTCCTAAGATTACTCATTGATCACAATCATAGATAACATAAGAAGTAATTGAAAACAAAGAAATAGGAACATGTTTGAAATATTTTTCAAACCATTAAATAATGTTTATGACTCCAACAACAACAGTTCTAAACACGTTTTCTAAAATTGTAAATATATTTAGTTAGAAATTATTTTTGGTATAAATCAAAATTTATTATAAAACTGAGTCAAAATTTTAATGAATATCATCTAAAGTTTAGGAAAGAATTAAACTTTAATTTATGAATTTCAACTTATAATATATCTATTCTTTAAAAGAATTGCTTTAAATTATTTTTATCAAACATATTTCTAAAATAAAGTTATTTGAACCTTTTTTATATAAATGATCTATATAAAAAAACTACTTTTTAAATTATGATTCATGTTAAAAAATCAATTTTTTCATAAGTCATGTTAGGTAAACTTCAAGTTATATATATTCACTAAGATTGACTTGATTCTAAAATCATGGCAGGTATTCCCATGCAATCAATTGCTACAACTGATGACAATATTGTTCGTATTAATATGCCTCATCAAAGCCTAAGTGAGTCGAAGAACATTATCCTCCAAGGTATTTGCACAAATCTCTCTCTGTTTTTGTTCCCTCTCCTTTAAAGGGGTAGGGCTGCATGGCCCTTCCAGATTGGAAACAATTTGGCCCCCTGAAATTTTCGACAGTTTCTTGATACATTTATTACTATTTTCCAAAATAAAAACTTTTTTGAACTCTAATCCAAGTATCCGATCCTTTATTCAATCCCATATCCCATAAATCTCATAATTTTTTTATATAAATTTAGCAGGTCCACGCATCGTGTCGGCATAAAACATTTTATCATACTAAGTTAATGTTCAAAGCTTTCAGTTACTGGAGCAATTATCATTACATTGAAAACTTAATAGATGCAAGTTTGATTAGCATACATATACGCTGCTTGTGATAATTTCTCTAATTTGTTTTTGTCCAACTTTTCAGTGTCAAGCAAATTGCGTGGGTTTGCAATAAATCTCCTCACATTCTTAGGTAAGGAAAATATATCCGACATCTCTTGATTTCCATCATCATTATCATGGCTTTATCTGATCACTCTTTAATGGTTGATCCAGGAATCAAGAAAATATACGATTTGAAGAAGATCCACATTTATTCAGATAAAATTCTACGGTGTATGTGTGAGTATATATCAACTCTGGATTATGAGGAATACCTCAAGGCAGATGTACATGGAGCGTTCCACAATGCTGTAAGGAATGGCATGGTTGAGTTTATTACTGAGGTGATTAAAGCTTGTCCTCATGTAATGATTAGTGGAGATGGCAATTCAAGGAACGTATTTATGTCCTCGATTGCAAACCGGCAAGAAAAAGTGTTCAGCCTTTTCTATGGACTGGAAGCAGAAAGAGAAGGATTTGTTTCCCTCGTTGATAGCACTGGAAATACAATGTTACATTTGGCAGCAAAACTATCACCTCCTTCTCAACTAGCTCGGATCTCTGGTGCAGCTCTCCAGATGCAGAGAGAGCTACATTGGTACAAGGTGAGCTTTCTACACTCAACATCTGTAAAAAAAAATTGATTGAACCTGATTAAGACCTGATTGATTTGAATTTAGGGCACCCATTTACTCATTTTCATTGTTACCCAAAAAGGCTGCAATTTCCCCTGCTAGTGGAGATTGGTGTATCCACATATGGAAAAGGAATCTTCAACAGAAAAATGAAACGCTGGTCAAAATCTTCAACTGATGGACTGTTAGAGGTTAACAGTTTATTGTCCCAATCTGTTTAGCAATTCCTATTTCCCCGGGATGAGCTGCTTTCTGTTCTACCATTCTGTTAGCAAGTCCTATTCTTATGGGACTAGTTGTTTTCTGTTCCTCGTCTGTTAATAAGTCCTACTTATTGTGATAGACTGTTAGAGGTTAACAGTTTATTGTGCCAATCTGTTTAGCAATTCCTATTTCCCCGGGATGAGTTGTTATTTTGATTGCTGCATCTCTTTGTAAAAGGCTATATAAGCATGCTGTTTGTGATGAATAAACAAGAGACTCATCTCTTTGTAAAAAGACTTGTGTGTGATGTAGATTGTTGCATCTGTTTGTAAAAGGCTATATATGTTAGGTTTGTTACCATTTCATGTGCAGCAAATGGACGGCACCAACCATTGATTATTGACAGCCATCATTGTTGAATGAGCTGGAGTTAGTGGCCATCAATATTGACAATAAAGCAAAAAGAGCTGTCATGAATGCCTATAAATAGAGGTATATGTGAGAGAGTAAAATGAGAGAGGGAAAGTAGAGCAAAAAATATAAGAAATGTAGGAGAGAGTGGGCTGCCAAGACAGCAAGTAGTCGTTGTCATTGCAGCACTAAAAAGAGAGAAATAGAGTGAGGTTGATAGTTTCTAAAAAGAGGATGATTCCTCCTCCTCTATTGTTGTAAATCTTGTACTCTTTCTATATAATGCAATGGCTTTTCCCGTGGATGTAGGCGATTTGCCGAACCATATTAAATATTGTGTCAGTGTGCTTGGCCTCCTATGAGCAAATATCAAAACATCACCTGTCGGAATTCCCAACAATTGGTATCAAAGCACATGGTTCAAAGTGGTGTTTGATTTTGCTCAAAAATGAAAGTTGTTAAAATTGTGTTTTGACCATACCACTGTGTAGAGGAGGAAGAGACGAAGCCACT